AAGCTGTACAAAGACCAGAGAGACGAAAACAGAGAGAGTCGGATAAACAAAACATACAGCACTCCCCTTCATTATGGAACTTTTTTTGGGAGCAGGACAGCAAGGGTTAATTCAAATAAACAAACAAACCAAAGCAAACAATATGGCTCTGAAGTAGTGCCAAAACAGGAAAACGGAGCTTTATTTTTGCATAAAGCCAAATGAACGCATGAGAACAACCAAAAGCGAGGAGAGAAGTTTGGCAGTTTGAACTGAAATGCAAATAAACATATTTTCCTATTCATTGTTCTGCCAGCACCACACAAATTGCAGCAACTGCAGTCACCTAAGAAAGAGCAAAATATGTAATGATCATCACTGTAAACGCTCCTGGCAAGTTAGTTAATGATTACTGGGCACATCAATATGCCAAATGACCTGCCTATATGTTGTCTCGCCTGACACAACATTTAAAAAGAATACATTTTATTTCTACATGTGTATAACAGCTAATATGTTTTTAAAAATTAGCATAGGTGCACATACTATTTAAAATGTAAAAGTAAAAAAAAATTAATAATAATAATAAATAAATAACAAATTAAAACATATAGGCTAAAGTATTTTTTCAGCAAAGCAATTTACACATTAGCATATAGAAAACCTCAACTTTAGGCTGCTTCATAACTTTGACCTGTATGCTGTCCTACTTAAGATGATCTTGAAAAGGCCATTGTTTCTGATTATTTATTTCCGTTTCTGTATCATCATAGTCTTACTAGAGCTTTAATGACTTGCAGTTTCAATCAATTCACACTGCAAGTCTGCGAGTCATTTTTTGTACTTCATAGCACATAGTTTCTCACCACAGCTTCTGTCTTTAGACAGCTAGACTGTCAATGGAATAACAATTTGTATTAATATTCGGTTTTTCAGTTCACTTACAGCACTGCATCTCTTAAATCAGTAATTTAATCATCATCTCCAACAAGATGATGATCTGAAACCGGTGAGTTAAATAAGTTAGACACTAAATGAGCAGTGCTATGGTTCCCACCAGGATTGAAAACAACTGTCCTAAATGTCTTAAATTTGATTGTAGCACAACATTACAGTAAGGTGATGGGGAGAGCAAAAAGACTACTCTAAACATTATACACAATATACAACAGTTAAACCATGGTTCCCACCAGGATTGAAAACAACTGTCCTAAATGTCTTAAATTTGATTGTAGCACATTACAGTAAGGTGATGGGGAGAGCAAAAAGACTACTCTAAACATTATACACAATATACAACAGTTAAACGGCAATCTCTTTACTTGATATTTATGATAATCACCTATATGATCATTATTTTGATAACATTTGCATATTTGTACACTAATATTACATGACTGTTTTTCATGCCATGGTGCCACATTTTTTAAAAAGCCATTAATGGGTGCCACATTTTTAAAAAGCTGTGGAGAACCTGGTGTTCTGTTCCATACCGTAACCTGCTTCAAGTTTTAATTGCACCAATAGGGAAATTCCTGTATTATGAAATTCCTATTATTATGGAATCATCATACAGGGTCAAAGGGCTTGATTAATTGATTTTTTCTTTAATTTCCTAATTAATTCCAATAAACTGACATCAGTCATTTTATGTTGATTGTAGATACCTAAATGCAAGATGCAATTAGTTATCCTCTAGATATTTTGAAGCAGTTTACTTGTACGATAGCAACCACATCTAATCTGGATTTTTAAAAAAGAAGAAAAGAATAGGAACCTAACAACATATATTTATAAAGATCACTTTACCGCAAAATATCTTTAAATAATTGATATAATCTGCTGAACTACAATGCACAAATGTATTGTTGCAACATGTAATACATACTAGCTTAATAATGCATTAAATATGACAAAATATATTAAAAAAATATATACCACTGTTCGCACATACAGCCAATGTTGTGTATTGAATTATTCATTATACCTGAACGTCCTGCTATGTAAGAAAACTGATTTTAACAAATCCAAGTCAGTACACTCAGTTAGTTCACAGTACAAAAATAAAAGGTTTTAAGGGTTTTAGAACCCTTAAACTTGGTTTGATACGAGTGGGTTGATGTTTTTACAACATGCACAACTTTAAAACAAAGACGCCTGAATTCACGACCACATGGTAAAGTTAAATAGTTACTTCAACTATTTGCAACCCAAAAATTACTTAACAGAAACAGTCAAATTCGTTTGCACGAGTTATGTAAAAGTTAAAGAAAGAAGTACGACTTTCGATTTCGATTTTCTAGCAGCCTGTCTTTGCTAACAAGCCTCCAAAAGACTACAGCAGACTAACTATCCAAAATTATACATTATAATTATACACATTTCGAGCAGTCTGTCTCGTGCAAACGTGATTTTGATACAGTGCTCAGCTATAATGTACTTTTTTAGCAACATGGCAGCTACTATTCGCTTGCAGCGTTGCAGTCATGTAACGTAACGTTAGACGGGACGATTAGCACTCTGGCTACACGGCTAATGGGACTTAAAGCAAAAATAAATGGCAACTAAAGTAAGCCTTTGTGTGGTCTAAATATTAAAAAGCAAATCACTCGCCTCTAAAACCCTCGTAAAAGTCAAAAGAATGTAAACATGCGCTCGCACACATGAAAGCGCACTTTCCCTCGTCTGTGAAACCTCACAGGCAACATTAAACCACTGTGCCGCCCCTTTAAGGGTTACCACGGAAACCGGTTGCTACGCAGCAAAAACAAAAAAAGTACCAATCGTCGTGACGTCCTTGCGTCAGACGTGCGGGAACGGCGTTTCCACGGCGACGAGACGTTGTATACACACGCAGGGTTGGGTTGTAAACGTCGCGGGACTGTTTGCTTTAAGAATCCGTTTAGTTTGTTTTGCATTAAACCACAAAATGTGAGACGGTTAAAAGGCGTTCGTTTGTTATCGTATTGTTTCCCTTCGTCTGTACATTTCTTGACTAGAATGGAAATGTTATGGTGCAGATCAGCGGAACTTAAAGAGACAGTTCACCCAAAATAAAAAAGGCATCATTTACTCACACTAATGTTGTTCCAAACATGTATGCATTTATTTCTATTGGTAAACAAAAGACTGACAGCCTTAAGTCACCATTCACTTTCACCATCATGAAAAAAAAATGGTGAGTAGCTTAAATGGTGACTTGTCAGCTCAGTCTCGATATGTTTTCTTAGCTAAATTACAGCATAAACTAACATATGAAACATGCATTAAGCAGACGGATGACTGATGCCCCTCAAACACCTGCCACACTGTTTTAAAGCGAACTATAGATATTTCCCCCTATCTAGCTCATCTTTAAGCGTCCCACGTATAATTTCTCTGACGTAACCGCCGTTTTTTAATGTTCTGGCGGGTTTTGGTCAAATGTTTGCTGCACATAGAAGTACTCCGCATTAGTCATTCCTGTTCATTCGTTATAATGTCTGCCACTGGACACGGCGTTCTCCACCGGTGACGCTCAAGTGCTGCTGACTAATTGTTGTTATCCCCACCCTTCCCCACCGTCGAGGTGTACCAACACCGGCGTACAAACGTTTTATCTTACCATACTTTACTTCCCGAGTTAATTTGAGTTTTACCTTAATAACGAGCAGCCACACTCATTTCCTTGCACACAGAAATGAATCACCTTTGTTCCTTCAAGAAATGAATGTGCCAGCAGCCTGTGACACTCACTCTTCCGTCACTGCAGCCCACTGCCAGACTTGGAACTTGTTCTTAGCTTCTTGTAAACGGCGAGGGTCTCAGCCTTAATAATGAGCGCTTTGTTTTGCTGAACAATAACTGACCGTATACATTGTATTTCAATCATTTTAAGCATTTGGTTTAGTATTCATACTGAGTAAGTGGTTGTCTTAAAACTGCCATTTAATAAATAGCCTACCTTTCTTTGAATATAGCAACGCTGAACCGATTTTGTCGTATGTGGTGAGCAGAACACAAATAATAATAACAAAGAATTCGATGCATAGTTCACAAACTTACCCACAATAGTCAACGGTAATGTAAATCTCTGCTCGGACCGGTTCTCAAGTCAGTCAGCATTGGAAGGAAGCTCCAGTGTATCGGGGATTCCGTGGGGCGTGTCGGTGAGAAAGTTTAGTGGAGTCAAAACAGCTAAAAGCGGGTTTCCCTTCTGTGCTTAACTGCTACCTCAGCAAAATTAGCTTGACGACTGCTCGTGTGTTTTCTCCTGCTCTGTATTTGTACACATTTCTGCACTATAAAAAGTGCACTACAATTAAAAAACATAAATGCTGTTGCCTTGCAGTTGTAAGTAAAACTTGTGTCAAAAGTGAAAACGTGCAGTGCATTTTATCCCCCACTTTGAATTGAATTAATGAAAAATAAAATGAAAATAGCTGTAGAAATTATTCTGACTAGCTACTTACGTAGATTATGATATTAGCCTACATTATGATATGACATAATGATGATGATTGTGCAGTCTATAGTTTTTCATAGCCCTCAGCCAGTACCATGTTCCTTTGTTTGAATAAGATTCTTTATTTGTTTGTCATTATCCTGTTTAAATCTGGTGTTTTAATCTCTTGTCTTCGATATTTTGAATAAAAGAGAACTTTTTTTTTTTTTTTACAGAAAATGGTTTATTTGAAACTGACCGTGACATAAAAATCACATAAAGCCACTGTTAAGCGTAACACATTTTTGACGTAAAAATATTTGCAAACCGTGTCGTTTCTAAATATTGTCCGTGAAAACCATGTAACAATTAAAAAATATCTCGTGGAAGTAATAGTAAACGTACCTATTCTTGACCGCGATCGAGCTGTCTCTTTCTGTGGGTGAGGGAATCCCTTACACGTCATATTGCTGGGATACCGAAAACAAAAACAGTGCTTTTGGACCATATATGGGCATCTACGTCAGCGGAACACCAGTAAGAGGAGGAGCCAGGACGCCCTACTTTACAATGCGTTCTCAGGCTTCATTCACAAGAAGAAGCGCTGCTGCCGAAACACCCAACAACCTTCTACTCCCGTTTGTAATAAACACATTCCGGATTATTTTTTATGGATTTATAAATGCACGCTTTTCACGGATTGCACCCAGGCCTGGGAAGTGTTATTCAAGGAGAGATTGGAATTTAGAAGTTTCCTCCAGCAGGGAACGGGATTGATGTCTTAATGCAACTGTTTTGGAAAGAGACTAAGGGCATCTTGACGAAGACTCCAAATAAAACGTATTACGGTAGGTGACTTTAATATAATACAAATATTGAAATGTAATGCATCCACTTTTCTCTTTTTATGGTGCATTACGGTTTACAAACGCAAGCGAATAGTTGATGTCCTGACGAAAAAGCGCTTCATGTGACTTCTGTTGGGTGCCAGGTGACATCCCGTTCTCGCCGGGCACAGTAGGTGTTTCGGCTTTTCTCGGCTCCACTGGGGAGATGTTTCAGGGGTTCCCCGGAGACCCCGACACCGGCTCCCGTGGAAGCTCATCTCCTTCTCTTGAATCTCAGTACCTGTCGTCCGTGGAATCCTTCGGGAGTCCGCCCACCACCAGCGCACCGCAAGTAAGTCACAGTATTTATTCACATTTAAACATCATGTTTGTCCGTGCAAATAACTGTTTTGCTAAACAGCACGGCAGCTGCGAGAATTGCCTGTTTCTTTCTGTAAGAGAAGCGGAGCGACGTTGCTGAGGGAATGCTTTTGTATTCGTTCGAGTGTGTTTAGCGGTGTAAAGTCGGAATAGAACTCAATAGAATACTGACAAGTCAGCATGCGCGCGGAATCAGGCCGGTAGCAACGTGGTGGGTTTACAGCCCGTCGCTAAACAGATGACAAAGCGGTGGAAGTCTCCGACGTTCTCACACGAAGCTCCGCCCTGCGCTCAGCGCTGCTGCTCTCGCTTCTCAGACCTCGGCGTGACGTCAATGCGTTCTATTTTGGAGTGTTACGTTGCGTTGCTAAGGGGAACACCGGGGGTGTGACGGGGGCGGAGGAACAGCGACGGGAGGGCCGATTCGAGTCCGGTTATTGGCTACGGCGTACTGCGTGTGCCTTTGCCTAACACGCTTTCATATGAATATTAATCAAACATGCAACTCACACTGGCATCACAGCGCCTTTTTTTCTAAAAAAAAGAAACCGTACAAATATAGATTTTTCTTCTAAATATGTTTTAATATCTGTGTGCAGATATATTGGTAAAACGTAAAGTGTATTGTGTACTTGCATTTGGACACCCATTTGTTGGAATTTTTAAAACAGCATTAAAACAGAAAATTCTGATGAGAATCCATGTCTTTTTCATATTTGTGTTGCTTTTGATTATCCTTACTCTTTTTTTCTGTTTTCATGATCTTTAGTCTGTTATTTGTACATGGAGGAAGATACAGCTTTACAGCAAGTGGTATTTTACTATCATTGATATATTATTATAGCCATTGTCAATATTTTGAAATAGATTTCATTTTTAAAATTGTTCGGTTTTTGTTTTAATTGTATTTATAGTTTTAGTAAATTTGTTGTGTTTTTGCCATTTTTATATGTCCATATAGTTTTTATGTTTTTTTTAGTTTATTCGTTTTAGTTTATTTCCTTTGAGTTATTTCAGTACTTCAAGTTGAAGGGATAGTTCACCAAAAATGAAAATTCTGTCATTATTTACGCTGCCTCATGTCATTCCAAACCTGCATGAGTTTCTTTCTTCTGTTGAATATAAAATATTTTGAAGAATGTGGGTAACCAAACACATTCTGGTCCCCATTGACTCCCATAGATTGGAAAGAAAAAACTGTGGAAGTCAATGGCAACAGTCAACTGTTTGATTACCCACATTCTTTAAAATATCTTCTTTCAGAAGAAAGAAACTCATACAGGTTTGGAACAACTGTATTTCAAGGTGTTTTTCAGGGTGAGAAAATTATGACAGAATGATCATTTTTGAGTAAACTATCCCCTTAAACTAAACAAAAATGATAAATGTTGCCTTGACTTTTTTTGTAAATTTCATTTTATTCACTCAACGATAATTTTGCTTCAAGTAACAAAATTGGGCTTTTATGGTTTTAGTTTTAGTTAACAATAACAGCTTTGTTTACAGCAAGCTGGTGGGGCCCATAGTTAAATACTGTTTATGTTTTTGGTTTCCAGGAGTGTGTATCAGCCACTGGCGTGGTAGGGGTGGGTGAAGGGTCAACCGGCACCGGGGCAGGGGTGGACATGCCCAGCTCATTTGTGCCCACAGTGACGGCCATCACCACCAGCCAGGATCTGCAGTGGATGGTGCAGCCCACTCTCATCTCCTCCGTGGCACCAGGGCAAAGCGGCACGGGCTCCAGCACCATGACGCAGCCTGTTGCTTTGGATCCTTATGACCTGCCAGGCCCAAGCTTTTCGTCGGGTGGAGGATTCACCTCACCAAGCTCTGAGACTCCTGGCACAGTGAGACAGTCTCGGAGCCGTCGCCGTGCACGCGATGAAACGGTGAGTGAGGACCATGACAGAATGGTTAGTCTTTTAACATTTTGATAAAAAAAATTTTTAAACTAAATTTGTTCTGTTCCCAGCTGACACCTGAGGAGGAAGAGAAAAGACGTGTTAGACGAGAGAGAAATAAACAGGCTGCCGCTAAGTGTAGGAACCGACGGCGTGAGCTCACAGACAGGTTACAGTCGGTGAGCGATGCTGTACTCACATATAATTGCACTTGTTACATTACAATATTTCATCCATAATAATAGATGAATGCAAAGGCATCATAATTACTGGATTCATAACATGCCAATCTGCTCATAACAATCATTTTTACAATGATAGTTTGTAAATGATTCCAACACACACATATGCATTCTGCTACACTGTAATTAGATCAAAGAGTGTATAAACCCACCGTAATTATATTGTGGGAACTGAGTTCCCAATTAAGAAAATGGCATTTTCTCCAAGTTTATTTTGTTGTTGCTCTCTGAAACTATAGCAACATGTATTTCTGAAGTAGCTCTGTGCCTGAACAACTATGATAAAAGGAAACCCTTGTTTTTGTCCTCATTTCATGTGATCATATAATCTCTGTCCCCTTGTGTCCTCCTCTTGTCTCTCCAACCTAAGGAGACAGACATTTTGGAGGAGGAGAAGGCCGAGCTTGAGGCCGAAATATCCGAGCTGCAAAAGGAGAAGGAGCGCCTGGAGTTCGTCCTGGTCGCCCACCAACCCGGTTGCAAAATTCCCTATCAGGACCAGCCCCCCGCGCCGCTGCCGCTGCCACTGCCACTGCCACTACCGCAGACATCCCTGCAGACGCCTTCTGTCTCCGTGGTGGGTTTGAGTGTGAAGGAGGACACTTTCTATCTGCCGCCGGCCTACTCGTCCCACCACCACCACCACGTCCCGGTTTCACAGCCCACGCAGACACAGCCGGCCCCAGCACAACAGCAGCAAGGGATGATGCAGGAGGTAGCCTTTTCTAGTTCTTTCTATGGGCAGGGCCAGCCGGCGCCGGACGGCCCGTGCCTTGTTGCCGACGGTGGCGGTAGCCCTGACACCGGCAGCTACATCCCCTCATACACATCTTCATTTGTGTTCACCTACCCAGAGGGAGCCTGCGGGGCCAGCGCTAACCAGCGAACCAGCAGCAGCGATCAGTCCTCTGATTCCCTGAACTCACCCTCGCTTCTTGCACTTTGAGAGCTCTGTGTCTCTCTGCCTCTGCTTGCCTGTCGACAGCAACACATGCACACTTACAAATTCAAACATTCTGTATTACACCTCTCAGACGTTGCACTGATCTTTTACATTAAAGCCTTTCGATTTGAAACCGAGGCCCAGATGCCTTAGCATCTGAGTGACTTCATCAAATGATGTAAGTGTATATTAATTCACAATGAATTCAGGCTTAGTATCAAGATGAGTCAGTAGCCCATGCACGCACACTCACACTCACACACACACACTTAAATTGTCATAGTCATTCAAATCCGTTTGACATAACAATAAAAGCACATCAGCGCACTCCCCCTTGCTTTTATCTTTTCTCGTTCTGGCTTACATTGGTGTATCATCTCCCTCCTTCTCTCTCTATCCACGCCAGGTGCCTGCTGTGTATTTGTCTAAGCAAAAAAGGGGACACAGAACTGCTTTGTGGGTTTTGTTTTTTGTTTCGGGCTACCTTGCTACCCTTTCTTTCTCCATCCAGTTCATCCACACCTCTTCCTGTGACAAAAGGACATGACCACACACTCTACAGTACCTATCTCTCGTTTTTTTTCTCCCTTTGTTGTCCATCTCCACATCTGTTTCTCCTCTCTCCTGTCTCTATGTACCTACGGTTCTCTCTGAAGTCTCCGGCCCCTGAGAGCCTGTTGGACCCTGAAAGCCCATGGAACCTTGAGTGAGTGCCAGCCCACATCCCAACACCACAATTTCCCTTCGCACGGACCATCCCACAGTGGAACCTCAAAATTTCAAAATATCGAAACGAACCAGCCACAGCGCAGATCAAATGCCATCTCAGATGCCACCACACTGCTAAAGGAACGGGACTCTTTATTTCTCCTCCGCACTGAGGATTTGATTTTGGATGAGCAAAGGCACACCGGCTAGACTTTGGCGAGGCCAGCGGAGGAGTTTTGGAGAGCCCTTGGAATGTGGAGGTATGAGATGGTGGGAGTATTCGCATGACCATGCTCTACCTGTCATCTCCCGCTGGTCCTTTGAGAGCTTTCACACCGTGCTCACCCTTTCCCCTTTCTTGAGGAGTTTGTTTGCTTGTTTCATTCTGTGTTTTAATGATAGTATTAACTCCGATCTCAAAAGTGGCTTATCTGATGATAACATAAAAGAATGGCTCGACACTCTGTGTTTGAAGAGCATTATAATGAGCAACCAAAAAAAAAAAAAAAAAGGACAACCTCTTAGTTTTGGATGTGTGGCCTCTGTGCTTCTTAAAGTCCTTGACATAGTCCTTGAGTTGTGGATGTGGTTTAGCACAGCTCTAGGCTTTGATTGTGAATGGAAGTCACAGAGTACTACATCTCCAGTTGCTTGCTTTCTTTAAGGGGGTTGTTGCTGTTGCTGTTGTTGTTAAAATGGAAAAAAGCACAAATGCCGGCTGCGGACGGAAGGAACACAAACAGTTGCCAACCTAAAGGATGGGATGTGCTTTTGAATATGAACCGTTTACTTTCCTGTGAATGTTTTTGATGTTTTGAGTTACTGATTTTTCATGATGCTTTTTCTCTTTTGCTCTTGATTGTGCTGTTGCTGCCAAATGGAAGAATTTTGTGGGGCTGTTAGCTGCTCCTTCTATCTGTTACTGTTGTCTTACTGCAGTTATCACAAATATTGTTATTATGGTTATTATGATTATTTCATAGCTATCTCATGTTGGCAACTAAAAAGGCATGTTGTGCACTATGAACCTTTTTTATGTCTAAAACTATATATATAAAATATATATAAGTATATATTATGTATGCATATATATATATATATATACATATTCAGTGTGTATATATATATACAATGATTGTAATGTAATGTATGAATGTTCAGAAAATGTTATTTTTGTCAATGAAGACAGAAGGGAGAGCTTGATGCACTTGGTTTTGGTTCAAACATAGATATTTTTCTAAAACAACAAAAAATATGTTATAATAAACAATAACAGCCCGCCTTTCCCTTAATATGAAAAGCATTGTCACTGCCTTTCATTCGAAACGTGTAATATGTATGATGACTGTATTGAAACTGTGGTGCATATAGTGATATATGTATCACAGATTTGTGCTGTGCTTGATTTGTCAATGAGGTTGGTTCCACAGCCCTTGTTCATCAACCCCTGTGGACAAAACACACTGGACGCAAAAGATCTATAAATGCTTAAATAAATCAATAAATATGCTAAAGAAAAAAAGAAGATATGAATTGAGTGTCTCAATGTATTCTAGATCATCTGATATTCAGCTGTGTTTCTCAAGCAGTGGTATTGGTTAATCATGTCCAGTGTGTGCTGTCTGCCCTTTGACTTTTGTGTGTGTGTGATATTCAGGGCTTGATGGACAACTTTCAACCAGCCCTTATTAATTCATGTTACGGACATGATCAGAAAATTATGCCTGTCGACGATTGTGCTTATTAACTTTGGCTTCATTGTGTGGAGTATTTTATGAGGTGGACATGATAATATTTGTACAGTTGTTTAAATCGAAATGCCTTTTCATGCTACATTTATATACACAGGTGCACCATTGTCTTGTTGGTTGAATTTAGACCCAGAGCATCAAATTTAAGCTGAAAAGAGACAACTGCGTGAGTTCTTTCCAACAGAGCCATTTGATGAAATTACGTTCTCATTTAGCATTGAAAACTGAATTAAGGCATCTCGAACAGTGACGTAATGAAGCCAGAGCTGTGATTTCACAAGGTGGGAAGTTATATGATATTAGAAAACACATTGTCAAACAGCTCCATGCTCCATTACATTGATATCAACTGAACTTTTCTTCAAATAACTTTATTGTGTGTCACAACAGTTTTATGTTGTTTTGATTTTTCAGCTGTTGGTGCTTTTGTTAGGCTACTCCTACGCCAAAACATTTTGTTACTGTATCTGACTCTGATATGATAGCATAAGGAGATGTTGGTTAAATGAGACAGTATCAGTGACTCTGTGGTCTTCCACTTTGCAAAAACTCTGTTTAGATTGAGCTGGGTATTTTCAAATTCACAGCGCTTTGAATTGACACAGTAGAATGCAATATATCAGATACTCTGAGAACCATGTAGCAAATCAACTGAATTGTATGATACAAGTCGTTCCTTATGCTACAGTGTCACAGTGAAGAATTGAGACCATTTGTTTTGTCTTTCCAGTTTACCTTACGTATGATTTACTCTGCTGAGACCTCAATGACGGGATGGTTATGCATTATTAGGATGTAAAATGTTAGTACCTCCCGGGCTTCATTTGTGAGCGTCATTTGATAGGTGAACTGTTTCACTTTCTAATGCATATTTGAAGATTGCCTTCAGTATAAAATGAGTGAAATATTAGCCAACTTAGACTAATGTTACAACCACTTGTTCAAAAAACTGAAAAGAAAGAGGGCTGACCTGTTTTTTGTACGTTTTTTGCCTTTTTTGAAGGGAAATGAAAGTTAGGTGTAAAATGGATCACGTAACATTTCAGAAACGATATGGTGCTTTTTCAATACTGTTTGTTTTTGTATATTCTTGATTAAGAGTGCCGATGACAGAGGTGTCTGGTAGATTTGACGTTATGGGTGTAGGACACTCGTGATTTTAGAGTGCTTTCCTCGCCATGACTGCTCCAAGTTCTCATACAGAACAGCATATTTAATACGTACTGAACAACCCTTGTGAATTATATAATCCGCAGTTCTACATTCTTTCTCTTTTCACCCTTTCTCCATTTCATTTCACTTTATGCTATATTTCTAGCCCTTTAATGAATGGGGAAGGACTTTTCATTTCGTTACATAGACTGTGAAATCTTGGTGTACTGTCCTATCTTAATATCTTTGTATGACGTCCAATTTTTCTTGTAAAGGAAATGTCTACAAAATAAACATATACATAAAGAGTTACTATCTGTTCGTTTGCCAAACTTTAATCTATTAAGTCTGTAGAAAATGTTGCCCAATGTACTTTGTTAATATGAAGGCATTTTCTGCATTTATATTTTGATTTATGCATTGAATCGTGTTGTATTTTAGGTTTGAGGGAATTGTCTGTAAACTTAAGGGGTAATGTCCTGGCAGAAAATTACCAGGATCTTTTCCGTTTTTCCACTTAATTATTATTATTATTATTATTATTAATTCAGTCATTCTTGAGAAGTGGGACAAAACAGGGTGCAAAATTGAAAAAATTAAAACCTTGTACTCAGACAAATGAAACTACATTTATGTATCTTATATGTACCGAGCTATGCTTTGATACAACCTCCCAACTTTTCTCTTTTTTAACAAAATGTGCTTTTTTACCTTGGACTGTGTAACATAATTTCAGCTTTATCTTAACAGCATTCAAGATGTTTTTAACATTTCAAAACACATTCTCGTGTTAGCAGACAGATTACACTTTCACATGTGACCAACAATTCCACAACAAATATAAAATATCATAATGAAATATCATCAAAATATTCAACTGACGGAGGTGACAGAACTGACGGAGTTGACACATCTGACGGAGGTGACGAAAACCTGAATTTGTAATAATTTTAACTATCAAATACGTTGAATCAGTCAATTACTGTATTAAAACAAACACAACAAACAGTGAGTATGTTATTGTTTATAAAGCTTTTATTCAAGAGTCACATTGAAGTATTTTGATATATCATTGGAACACAAGATCTTATGGTGGTGACATCTGACGGTGTTGACAAATTTGGCATTTCTTTCACAAAACCAATTAAGTTTATGTAGTAGCCATTTTATTGTTTGCTGTTCATGCTAGATGCTAATGGAACCTGCTTCAGGAGAATAAAATGATCTAAATATTTCAAATAATTTCCTCAGAAATTGGAAGATGGTGTTGACATATCATGGCTGTGACACAGGAAATATTAACATTAGGATTTAAAATATTCTAAAACTAAAACTTAGCAGAGCCTGTCTGACACTGATGTACTCTGCAGAGCTGAACTGTGGCAAGGGGGTCCTTTAGAGTGACAGCTGCCCCTGATATTCCCTGATTTTATTACATTTTATTGAATGTCTGACGGTGTTGACAAAAAGCATGTATTAAACATGCATGTGTCATTAAAAAACAACCTTGCTTTGATAGGAGATATTATTAAGTGTTGCTTTTAATAAAACAAGCTCTTTTTCATCATTAAAAAAACATTTTTATCCATTTTATTGCATATGAATGATTGAACCCTTCTCTGTGGACACACTGTTTTAGATGTAGTGAGAGGACATTAAGAAACA